TACGACGAATATTTATTTCCCAAACATGGGTGAAATAGTTTACTCGTATTGCCTAGAAGGAGCTATTCTACCTGCATCAAGGGAAGAATAAGATGAATGTTGGATGGGTTAAACGAATGATTTAATAATATGTTTTTTTTTTCTGTTTTTGTTCCTCAAGACATACTGCATGAGATAGTATTTTACCTGGTAAATTTCATGTAAATGGAAAGTATAAGTTTTGATTTTTATTTTTTACTATGAATCATTTGAAAAGTTTCAATTTCAAATGCAAAAATATGCACCATTATATATCATGTAGTCTTTGAGAGAGATAATGTAATCATTCTGTAGAACTATAACATATCAAAAAATACTTCATTTTGAATATTTCTTTTTTCTATGGAAAACAGTCAAGGATAACATCTTGCCGGAAATTAAAATATAATTTTGCTTGTGAGAAGCGCATACAGTAAAATATGAGAGATTATGAGAGTAGCACGTAAAGGGGGAATACAAAAATAGGATAAATTAATTTTTTGATACGAAAATCTCTTTTACAAGACGTTCACGTACTACTATCACACGATTCCCGTGAATCACGCAATTTCACGTTCGGATTGTTTCTTTGAATAATATACAAACAGAGTACAAAATAGTTTATGTGAAATTAATTATGCATAAAAGGATAAGATTAATAAATAAATGAATAAATACAAAAATGGGAAGCTAACATAGCATAATCACTAGTAAATATCGCTTTGCTTAAAATACGTGATAATAATTGAAGGATTGAGGAAATAGAACCAATGATAATCATCCACCTATTTATCTCCTCCAACATTCTTATCACTATCTTAGGCAAAGGAAGTATGGGACAATTCCCGGTCTTCCCGGATTTATAATAACTTGAAGGATTGATTAAATAATAAACACTGAAAAGTTGAATAAATAATTCCCATAATATGAAAGAAATGCTTATCGGATTGAGCTATTCCAATTTATCATTGTCATTCTGAATACATGCTATTTGCTAATAACAATGCAACGGTCATTTATTACAGAGACCTTTGAACTGCTTAACCGGAATAAGATGAAACATCAATTCCTTATTCTTTTTTACCTTCTTGTAGTTTTTGATACCTCTACCTCTTTCCTCGACATTTATATCAGAAAGCTGAATTTTGAATACTATCACTGTTGCTTCCATTGTTGAATTATTTCCACCTAGGTCGTGATAGGGTACCAGTTTTAATCAACAAAGGTCTTGAAGCAGTGCTACAGGAATCGGCACGCTTCATTGTCCTGTTGTGAGGACTTGGTATTGTTACGGGTATTGAAGTTGATACTTGTGGACCAGGTTTAGTTGTCCCTCTTATAGGTCGTCGTAGTGTGGAAGGTGAAGAACGTGGTAATGTTGCCCGTGCTAATGGTGTTGCACCAGTTACTGCTAATGTTCGTTGTGGAGCTGATTTTGGACGTGATATAGTAGGATTTAACTTTGAGGATGAAAGATCATGATTTGATAAGGCAATTGGATGTGCAGTATTCTCATGCGAATGCAATACTCCTTTGGTAGATGTTGCAGTTGATTTAGCATGAGTTGATCGGCAAGTTGTCCCCAATAACAATTCTGAATCAATGTTTTGCTCATGGTTAGCCAAAGCAAGAAAGGCTTTAGTAGCATGTGCACGTTGTGGTGAATTTTCTGCAGATGAATTCGATGTACATGGTGTCTCAGTATCCGCATTATAAGTTGATGGTAATTTTTTTGACATGCGTACAGATGTTGTATTTTTTGTAAGCATAACATTGGCTAAACTGATATCAGATGTACCAGATATACCAGGCTTTCGAGAAGACGTAGTTTTGGTAATTCTTGAAGAAGCTATTTCAGCTTTATTCGTTAGAACTATTCCGCTACGTCGTTTTATTACAGTTTCTTTAGTGGGTGGTTTTTCAGACTGCGCCGATGATTTTGTGAGGATACTTTTTGAGTCATTACATGTCTGTTCTATCGTTCCAACTTTTCCATTTGTTGAAACAGAGGTAGCAGAAAGTTGTGACGTGTAAATGGGTGACTTACTGATAGGTTGTTGTTCTGGTGTATATTTACGAGATACTGAGGTTGTAGATGATTTACTTCGATAAGATGAACTTCGTGGATCTTCAGCAGGAGTTTTTGCAGTAGATGTCTTCTGAAATGATTTCATCGTTCGTACGCTGCGTATTGTCTTAGATAACGAAATTTCGGCAACTCTTTCTACTGCAACTCGTTGTTTCATCTTATCCATCGAACAAAGTATCGTTGCAACTCTATCGGAATGTTGTACAGTACTTCCTGATTTGTTATTCCCGGGAGTTATTTCTTGTATAGTACTACTTGATGGCAGCATTCTTTCAACTTCTGTTATCGTTAATGGTGCATTTTCTGAAAAAAGTTTCATTTTTTATTCATCGAACATAGTATACAGGTAAGATATGCGATTCTAAGATACGAGTTTTAACTGCTAATGGACGGCTAACAGCTTTTACCTAATTTAACGAGTAAATTGATAGTAATCAGTAGAGGGGGAAAAAAATCAGCAAAAAAAGTATTTGTTAATTTTTTAGAAGTAATTTCTCTGCAATGAATGAAACATTTCTAACCTGTAGAAGTTGAAAATGTGGAAGGCATTTCAACTAATTCATCAGGTACTTCTTTGTTATACTGAAAAAAATAGAAAGATTTTAGAACTAATTTGCAAATTTGAATGATAATTTAAATTTGAAAAAGAATCAGAAGAAAAGGATTTCCGGATGACTGAATCCGATGAAAAGACGAAGATGATCCAACCTCAGCATGTTGCTTTATAGCCTCCTTTTCGACCCTTTCAGCTACCTCCAGAAATTCATCCAAATTCTGACTATGTTTTATCAGATAAGCATCACTTTTGTTTCGTGATTGTTTTCGTAACTTCATGATTGGTGACATGTCATTCCCCTAATTTATTACAAAATTAGCAAGAAAAAAAAACGAACAATAAATATTATTACTATTAGTAAACGCAATTATTACGGACAAAATTCATATTAAAAAGCAAATACTTACCTCATCAGGTACTTCATCCCTTAGCTTACGAACTGTTCGATGGACAATTTTACGATCTTTCCTTTCATCATCATTTAACGGTTTCATTACAGTATTGTCCGGACTAATGTTTGAACGAGCTCTGGAGTGACGGGTATCCGAATGAGAACTGAAACCTTGTGAAATTTCCGTGATAATCATTCCATTTTGCTAATATTCTGCTTTGAATTATTCACTTTTTTTTTCTTCTAGGACATGATGACTATCAGTACCTTAAGGTACCTTACGATCTAAACCGGATTTCTGCAGAAATGAACGATACACTTATTCCGGTTATAATTCAAGACTAAAAATGACGAATTTGTATCAGTATTTGCTTCATTGTAAGATTTTGAATCTATTAAACAAATTCTAAATTCAATAAATATGTCAAAAATGAATCAGTATTACTTCACATTTTTAAAATTCACTTTTAAGGAAGCAAAAAAAATAGATTCATTAAGGATGACGTAAAAAGCAATGGTAATATATTACAATATTATAGGATATATGAAGTGATAAATTAAGCTTCCGAAGAAGTATTCTGAATATACTGTTTAATAAAATTATGATATATTAGGATACTGATTTATTGATAGTAGATTTGTATTCTTATGATGACTGATAAGATCACTTGAATATATCTGTCCAATGTTTTTGAAAATGTACGCTGATATCTTAGTCGAGCCAATCTCAAATTTTTCAAGCTTATTTTTGAATTGTAAATCATATTCAAATTTTAACTTACTTGCTTTCCAAAAGTTCTTCCAATGTTCTATTGTTATTATTATTGTTATTGCTTGCCTTCTTTGGTAAATTAAACTTTGATGAATTATCCGTTACCATATTTTCCACGTTCGTTCTTTCTTCCAGACGTTTTAGTCGCCTTGTACGTTTGTCATTATCCTGTATAAAAAGAAAGTGAAATATTCAACCTATCGGAAACCATGTAAAAAATTAATTAACTTATTCCATTTCAGCAAACGGAACTATGAAGGTTTAATTAACTGATACATAGCTGAAATTTTAATTATTCCACTCCCTCGGAACATGTAAAAATTTCGAGGAGCAATAAGTATTGTCTTTAGGATAGCCTGGTAGAATTGATAAAATAAGGACTGCGAAAGTTATCAATTGAACTTTGTTCACTCACATAAAGTAATTGCGATTAAGGAAGAGAAAAATTAAGTTAGATAACTGTTTAAATGAGAAATTTTAGTTCTTAGCAGATTATTAAATCTAATTTATATATTTCAAAGAATTTTTATTCAGGAATAAATCAGATAAACTGAAATGATAATAATTATTATCATAGTACAAATGATAACGTACAGTTAACGCATCTCGAAGTCTACAGATGAACGTTGACAATATTTTGAAGCATTCCTCAATTTTGAAATGTTTTTCATCTTCACAAAAATATGCTGCCAGATAAGAAATCAATTGATCCATTTGCTCTAATTGCTCTTGCATATTTGCCATATGTTGTCGTGAATTCTTTAAAATTTCAATTCAATTATTCATCATAATTATCTTACTGAAGTAAGTCTAGTCGAAATAGTTCCTCTTCAATTATACTAATTACATTTGAAGATCTGATGTTTTACCTGTACAGGTAGGAAATGTGATATGATAAAGTGAAGTAACAGAGTCAAATAATTTAAATATAAGATGTAAAAGGTATCTTCTGAAAAAAAGAAAATTATATTTCCTTAAATCCCGAAAAGCAAAATTTTTAAACTTTCAAATCAATAATTGGGCAGAGAAAGAAGTTAGAGCATACTATGAAATGATGGTTAGTATTTTCGAAAAAATGAATATCAGTTCGCTTTTTGACTTCACCACTCACGTTGGTTAATTTATCACTGATCGTCCGGACGTCATTTCGGATTGATTCCAGTGATAGCCTGAAAATTTTTTTGAAAAAATTCACTTATCCTAGTATTAATGATCGAACAGATTGCTAATGCAAGCAAAATTGTTTAATCGAAATTCGAAATTTCTAGCAGAATTTTCATCCTAATCACTGGCTCAATAAAAAGATCAGTAATTTAATTAGTAATAGAACTCAAAAATGTAATTAAAAACAATTTCTGTAAAAAGAATTATTTAAATTTGCGCTAATTACATTTGGATTGGTAAACAGTTTTCTTTTTTTTTTTCCAAGAAAATTCAATAATGTTACCTTGCAGCAATCGGTACTGTTAACAGTTCATTCAGCAGTTTTTCCGTGCATTCACGATCTTGCTGAAAAAAAAAAATGATTGCTAAGTTATATTTGACAAAAAAGAATAAACAATTTTGTAATTCAAATGGAAACTTTCATCTCAAATTGCTTGAATTATCTGAAGAATTCGGTTCTTATCCAATCTCATACCGTATTTCAAAATATCCGTTTAATGCCTAATGAATTGCTTGTTAAGCATTCAGTATTCCGATCCCTTTCTCAATTCCGATTTTATGGTTCTAATGTCGTATTCAGCTAAGGATGTGAATGATTGTTCTTTCTTTTTAAAAAAAAAAAATGGCTAACCATAGCAATGAAATGGAGAAGTGTGATACTTTTTTGCGTCCCTTTTACATCTAAAATTCTCCAAAGTGAATTAAGTTTGAATCCGGCAGCATTCCCGAAAGTTGCATTTGCATTTAAGAAATTACCAATTTGTACAAGCATGCAAAAGATCTTTGGTAACGCTTTGCTTTCTTTAATTTCTGAAATTTCAAATAAAATATTTTTCTTTTTCCCAACACAACTCACTCACTTTCCTGGGAATTTCAGCTAACGTCAGTCCTTCTCAAATGCTTTCAGAATTTGTTTTTCGTTCTTGAATATCGCATTGAAAGACTTACTTTCCGTTATTTAGGCAATCAAGTAATACATTTAGCAATTAAAAAATACTTAAATTCATCAGATATGTAATTAAAATGCTTTTATATAAGGTTTCAATAAGAAGAAAGAGACCAAAAACCAAAGTCCTTTGCATATGTCCTACTACTAATTGCTCATTAATACTATTATTTAATAAATTTCTATTTGTACCTTAAACTTACTGGACTAAATAATTGGTCAAAAAATAATAAAAGCAAACCTATGCAACTGTTAATTACGGTATCAATATGAGGTAGCAAAGTTTCGAAAGCAATATCCAGTTCTTCTTTTAAAATCATGCAATCCAAGATAAGTTTATAATCTGGTACTGTTAATAAACTTAAAAAGAATTGTTCTGCAATACCAAGCTGTGATTGGTCACCACTAAATCCTCGTAAAATTTCAATCTGTAATCGTAAATCTAAGTTTGCATTTAAGTTTCATTTTAGAAAAAACACTTTTTGCAAATCAAATTACCAACATCGCTTAAATTTCAAGCATAACATTTGTTCATTTTACGCTAAAATAGAATCATCAATTGAATGTTGTAATAAAATTATTCACCTTTAATTCCAACCTGATATCTCCACCATGCACATATATATCATTTTATCATATGTCTTGTACACTCTTGGTTTTCGACAAATTTCGCATAAATTTTTTGCATACTGTTATTAATTGAATGAAAAAAGCATATTTTTATAAAATTTAAAAAATATCTACCTCTTCAGTATCCGGTAAAATAGCACGAAGATTATTTAACCGTTCAAGACCAAAAAATTCTCCATATCCTTTTCGAACATTTTCAATAATTTGAGATGTACCTTAAAATTTTACTGTTAATTTGTGCTTAAGTTATAAAATTTTTCTAAAAAATATTATGGTTTAAAAATAAGTCAGAATAATTAATTTAAAAAAGTAAAGGCTAAATTACCTTCTTTAAATTGTTTCAGGAAAATGCTCACATTAAAACTTCGTTTATGTGACAATAAAGTAATTATAGCATTCCTTCGAGTAGTACATCGCTCAACCTTTGACGTATCAGTACACGTTCTAGTAGTACCACAGCTAAACATCGATTCTAATTCATCGAAATTAAGATGTAATTCTGAAAAGTGAACACATTTGAAAGTTAGCATAAAAGAAAAATTTCAAAATTTCAAATTTTGCTATGGAATAATTCTAGTTTTTAAAAATATTTCATATAAAAGTTAAAATAGAATAACCAATTGACCGATGATACAAAAATTTTCAAACTTTCAGGGAAATTAAACACGTGCAATATTACAGGAAAGTAATCATGTACAGAAAGCAATCCGGATTTCCATTTTCCGTCGCTATATTTTTTTGATATAAGGCATATTTCTAGTTGACATAACAAAACAAAATTAAAAATTTTTACAGAATTTCTCAGGAATTCAGTTTAATGGAAGTTTAACAAAATGGTACCATTTTCAGAAAGCCGTGCGGAAGACATCCAAACGTTATGAATTTTTTGCATACCGTCGCCAATTACCTAAATATTTTCAAATTTTATCATGCAATATCTTTTGAAAGATATACGATATTCAAAATTTCCTCATTAGATCATTCGAATAAACCTTCTTTGTCTTCATTTGGTCATCTATTTCAGGCAAACAGTATTATGGAATTTTTGCGCCCATGTCACATATGATGACAAATACACAGAAGCTTTAGACAAAATTCTTTGGAAATAATTAAGAATTTTAACAAAAGTTAGGATTAATGGAAATTTTACATTTTTTTAAAAAGAAAAAATCCCAAAAAATTTTTTTAAAAAATGACATTTTATTAATTCTTTAAATATTGTGAAATTTTTTCTTTCTAGAATTAACCTTTTCAACGGGTATTTTGGTCCATTGGATTTGTTTCATTTGTGATCCAGCTTTAGGCATAGCTTTCGGTTTCAATACTTTCGGTATGTCTAGTTTTTTCTTTGATAACAATCTAGACTCTTTGGCATTTAGTTGAAGCGGTGGAGGAGGTGGCGGTCCACCGGAGGTTTCTGATGATGGTGGTGGAGGTGGAGGAGGTGGTGGTGGTGGAGCTGGTGAAGATGATGGAACTACGGTTGGTAAAGCTACACCAAGTATGGAAGTTGCTAGAAAAATCAAATTTCATCAAGTTTACATTTGTAAATAAGAAGCAATTACCTCTCCCTGATCTCT